CAGCACTCCCTTCTTCCCCTCCCCCCAGATAACCATGGATATGGTAGCTCAGGTCTCCAGTCACTGCTGTGATACCGGTTTCTTCTATTGCCACTGGTCCACCCTGTTTTGAGGCTACTGCGGACACTGCTCCACTCCCTTGTACAGATGCTGCCTGTCTCAGCTCTCATCTTTTGAGTGAACTCCACCTGCCACCACTCACACAGCTGCTGTCCATCTGCTGTGCCCTCTCCCACAGAGACTGTCCATGCCTCATGGTTCCAGTGCCTGCCTCACATATTTTAGGAGGGACACAATTCAATCTATATTATATTTATTAGTATGTTGTGTCTAAATATCTTTTCTCCTCTAATATTCTTCAGCTGACCCTCTTTAAAGAGGGTATGTATAAAATGAGGCACTGAAACTAGAGAAATTACTTCTATAAATGTTTTTATACAACTCCTAGGTGGTGGATATTTATACGAATTCTTTGCCTCTGGATTTCTAGAAGCAAAAATACTGTTGCTGTGCTGGCTGAATATTGTTACTTTTTTTAAAAAACATTGTTATTTTTTATAAACTTTTCCCCCTTTCCCTTAAGGTGCTCCTGCTACATGGAACCACAGAATATAACAAGTGTCCCTGACTTCATCCTCCTGGGCCTTTCAGATGATCCAGAACTTCAGACTCCCCTCTTCACAATGTTCTTCTCCATTTATCTGGTTGCTGTGTTGGGGAATCTGCTCATTATCCTGGCCATCAGCTCGGATAGCAACCTCCATACCCCTATGTACTTCTTCCTTTCCAATCTGTCCCTGGCTGACATTGGTTTCACCTCCACCACAGTCCCAAAGATGCTTAATGATATCCATACACACCACAAAATCATACCTTATGAAAGCTGCCTGATTCAACTGTCACTGGTAATTTTTTTTGCGTGTATGGACAGTCTGCTCCTCACTGCAATGGCCTATGATAGGTTTGTGGCCATCTGTCACCCCCTGCACTATCCAATCATTATGAATCCCCGATTCTGCGGTCTGCTGGTTTTAATATCTTTTATCACTAGCCTTTTGGATTCCCTGCTGCACTGCTTGGTGGTGTCACAACTTACCTTCTGCACAGATGTGGAAATCCCTAGTTTCTTCTGTGATGTTCCACAACTCCTCAGTCTCGCCTGTACAGTTACTTCAACCACTACGGTATTAGTCTATTTCATGATTGCTATCTTCGGTGGTGTTCCGGTCTCATTGATCCTTTTCTCTTATAAGCGAATCGTTTCCTCTATTCTGAAAGTTCCATCATCAGGTGGAAAGTATAAGGCTTTTTCCACCTGCGGCTCTCACCTGTCAGTTGTTTGCTTATTTTATGGAGCAGGTAATGGAGTGTACCTCAGCTCAATTTTTTCACCCTCTCTTAGGAGTGGTGCAGTGGCCTCAGTGGTGTATACTGTCATCACCCCCATGCTGAATCCTTTCATCTACAGCTTGAGAAACAGGGACATCAAGAAGGCCCTGCAGAAGATCCTTAGCAGAACAGTCTCTCTTTAACACGGGCACCTTCCCCCCGCCCCTGTAAATTAGAAGAGGCAGAAAAAAAACAAACACAGGGAGCTGAGAAACTTCTTTATTTGATCACATAATTTTTGTAGCTCATAGCTTTCATTTCTTTCGGAATAATAAGAGAATAATGTTTATTTGTCACTTTTTTTAATTGGGAGATGTTCTTGAATTCATTTGCCATATTGTCATGGACTGTGTGTTACTAGAAGCTCTACCACCAGTATTTCAAATACCAGCGGGGTCAACCATGGTGGACAGGTTTCAGTAGAGCCTCTAGACTAAGGCATAAGAAGTAAGACTGAGCCTTTCTACAAAGATGGCACCAAAAGCTAAGAAGGAGACCCCTGCCCCTCCCAAAACTGAAGCCAAAACAAAGGCATTAAAGGCCAAGAAGGCGTCCTGAAGGGCATCAACAGAAAAAAAAAAAGAAGAAGAAGAAGATCTGCACGTCACCCACCTTCCAGCGGCCTAAGATGCTGAGACTCCAAAGGAAGCCCAAATACCCCCGAAGAGCGCCCCCAGGAGAAACAAGCTTGACCACTATGCCATCATCAAATTTCCCCTGACCACTCAGTCAGCCATGAAGAAGATAGAAGATAACAACACACTTGTGTTCATTCTGGATGTCAAGGCCAACAAGCACCAAATCAAACAAGCTGTAAAGAAGCTCTATGACATTGATGTGGCCAAGGTCAACACTTTGATTAAGCCTGATGGAGAGAAGAAGGTCTATGTTCGACTTGTTCCTGATTATGAGGCTTTGGCTGTTGCCAACAAAATTGGGATCATCTAAACTGAGTCCAGCTGGCTAATTCTAAATACAATTTTTTTCCTAACCAAAAAAAAGTAAGACTGATTAGATACTTCTGAAATAATAGTCACTCCAAAACCCTATGAATATCATTGTTCATTAAAGGACGAGAAGACAAGTCCTTCAGGGTGGAAGTCACTTAAAATGAGACTGGAGAAGGACTGTCTTCTCAAATTAAGAGTCTGCCTTAATGATACAGACGGAGTAAATCTTCATCCGATGAAGGATCTTCACTTACTGATACAGAAGGCTCAAAATGTAGAGAAACAGCTGTAAACACCCATTAATAATTGTAACACTGTTGTAGTTACTGTTGGTTTTGTGTACTGTAGCCTCAGAAGTGACTCATAGCTGACGCTCCAACAGGTTTTCACAGGCAGTAAATCAATCACATTGGAAGAGTCTGTCCATCTCTCTTCTGCAGAGGAGCTGCCACATTCCAACTGCACGCTTTCAGGTTGGCAGTTAATCTCCTTACCACTAGGCCACCACAGCCATTTGGAACATGGAATGTATGAAGTATAAATATAACAAAGTGGAAGTTGTCAAAAATGAAATGGAACGCGTAAAGATCAACATCTTAAGCATCTTAGCCCATTGAGATGGGTTAGTTGCTGTTGGTCACTTTGAATTAAACAATCACACGAACTACTATGCTGAGAATGACAAGTTCAGAAGGAATGCTGCCGGATTCATTGTCAAGAGGAACACTTCAAGATTTATCCTGAAGTACCATGGACTGCCAAGAAAACAAACAGATTCATCGTAGAGAGGATTAAACCAGGCTGTTCCTTGGAGGCAAAGATTCTGGGGCTTCGTCTGACATGCTTTGGACATGTTGTAAGGAGAGACAGGTCTTTGGAGAGGGACATCATGCTGGGTAGAGTAGAGGGACAGGCAGGAGGGGAAGACCCTCTATGAGGAGGATTGATTCAGTGACTGGGGTAATCGGGATGGGTGTGTCAGAGGCAATGAGATTGGCACAGGATAGAACACGGTTTAGGGCTGTTGTACACAGGGTCGCTATGAGTCACAAACGACTCGACGGCACATAACAACAACAACAACACAATGCTGTGAATGATAGTTTACTATCCACATGCATACAAGGAAGACATGTTAATAAACTGTTATTCAAATACATACATCAATCACTAAAGCCAAAGATAAAGACATTTCTAATATCTACTAACTTTTTCAGCAATCAAGATGCATTAACAATAATTGGTTAGTGAAAAGCAACAAGGCCTGAGAAATTTATGGAATACTAATTAACATATTTTAGCAAACAGATGCTGCCCTGAATGTGCTCACTAAATTGGGCCAAGGAATATGGAGGACAGCTACCTGGCCAGCTGACTGGAAGAAATCATATTTATTCTCATTCCAAAAAAGGGTGATCTGTTAAAAGGGTGGTAATTATAAAACAATATCACTAATATCACACGCAAGCAAAATCTTGAAGATTATCCAAAATGACTGAAACATCAACAGAGAACAACCAGAAGTACAGGCTGAGTTTAGAAGAGGCCGTGGCACAGGGACATCAATGCCAATGTCAGACCTATCTTGGCTGAAAGCAGAAAGCACCGAAAGAATGTCTATGTGTGTTTCATTGACTATGCAAAAGGTTTTTTGGGGGTTTTTATGTTTGGTTTTTTTTTTTTTTGCAAAAGCTTTTGATTGTGTCGATCACAACAAACTGTGGCTAATCTTGAGAAGAATGGGAATCCCAGAATGCCTGATTGTGCTCATGCAAATCCTATACATGGACCAGGAGGCAGTTGTCAGAACAGAGCAATGAAACACTGCATGGTTAAAAATCAGGAATAGTGCATCAGGGATGTATCCTGTCTCCATACCTCTTCAATCTATATGCGTAACAGATCATTCGGGAGGGTGCTCTTTATGATGAAGAATGTACAGACACCAGAACTAGAGGAAGAATCATCAACAATTTATGTTATGCAGAAGACTCAACCTTACTCACTGAAACTGAGGAAGACCTGAAGTATCTGCTACAGAAAGTCATGGACTGCAGTCTTCAATATGGATTGAAGCTCAACAGTAAGAAAACAAAGATTCTTACCACTGTGCCAATTGGCAGCACCATTAAAGATGGAGATGAGATCAAGATTGTGAACAATTTCAGCTTGCTTGGGTCCTCAACACTCTTTAAACCAGCAGCCAGGAAATTTAAAAACAAATTGGATTAGGAAAGGCTGTTGTCAGGGACCTCGCCAGAGTGCTGAAGAGCAAAGAAGTCAATCTAGAGAATAAAATGCACCTGATACAGGCCATGGTCTTTGCAATTACTTGCTGTGCATCAGAGAGCTGGACAATAAATATGGATGACAGAAGAATTGATGGCTTTGAGTCGTGGTGCTGGAGAAGAGTATTAAACATACCATGGGCTGTCAAGGTAACAAACAGGTCTGTCCTGCAGAGGGTGAAACCAAGGTGTTTTCTGGAGGCAAGGATTTTGTTCTTCTCTCATACTTTGGGCACATTGCCAGGAGAAGCCAGTCCTTTGAGAAGAACTTCATGCTTGGAAGGGTGAAGGGACAATGCAGGAGAGGAAGACACTGGATAAAATGGATTGACACAGTGACTAGAATAATAGGGGCAGATGTGTCAGAGACAGTGAGATTGGCTCAGGACAGGGTTGGGTTCAGAGCTACTGTACACAGAGTTCCTATGAGTCACAGATGATTTGACAACACATAACACAATACTAGGAAAAATATGACCTCAGTGACTGAAATAAGGCTGGAGGTCACATGATGAAATCTTTTAAGAATCAAATCACTGATGGCTCTGATGGGCTTAGTGGTAAGGAGTAGTATTGCCAACCCAAAGGCATGTTATTCAAATCCACCAACTACTCCATGGGAGAAAGATGGACAATCTCATTCTGTGCCATCTACTTCCTACCTGCTCAAGGGCCGACTATGAGTAGGTTCAATTCAATAGTACATAACAACAAATAACATAATAATCAATGATATATTAATGGCAAATATCTATCTTTAAAAACAGAAACAGAAACGGTATACATGGACCTCATAGATGGACTACACAGGAATCAGATTAACTGCATATGGTGGTGAACAAGGTGGTGAAAAGTTCAATAACAGTATTCAAAACAAGGCCAGAGGGAAACTGTGGAACAGACCATCAATAACTCGTATGCAAGTTCAAATTGAAAGTGAAGAAAATTAAAATAAGTCCAAGAAAGTCATACTGTGACCTTGATTTTATGCCACCTGAATTTAAATAATATCTCAACAATAGATTTGATGCACTAACACTAATGACAGAAGACCAGATAAGTTGTAGGAGGGCATCAAGAACATCTTCATCTGTGAAGAAAGAAAAAATAATTTAAAAGGCAAGACATAAAGAAAATAAAATGGTTATTGGAAAGGACTTTGAAACTTGATCTTGAATGGAGACAAACTAAAGAAAAAGGACAAAATTATGAAATTAGGAACACTAACAATTTACTTTGTAGGGAGTTGCTGAGCTAAAAAAAAGGGTTGGCCTCTCTAGCCAACGGTCCCAATCTACTAGTGTCTCCAGAGGAGAAAGATGAGCCTCAGAAGCTTGCTAAAGGGTCAGGCATTTGTCTATTCTGACCTGATAACAACTAATTTCTCTGAACAGGACATATAAAAAGGTAGCTCCAAAAGACTAATCCAAGTATTACAATGAAATGTATGAAAACCTGGGAGTTAGAAAACCAAAAATGAGCAAAATTCTTGGCATTTCGCAAGCTTAAAGGAACTGGGGGAAAAAAGTCAAGCCTTGAGTTGCAATACTGAAGGATTCTATAGGCAAAATATTGAATGATGTAGGAAGCAACAAAAGAAAATAGAAGGAATACACACTGTACCAAAAAGAATTTAAAGCATTAGGGGTGGGGGGGGGAAGACCCCAGGAATTATTGGAATATCAGTTGAGGTATTTCAGGAGACCTGGATGTGCTCACTAGTCTCTGCCAAGAAATTTGGAAGACAGCTGCTTGGCCAACTGACTGGAAGAGATTCATATTTGTTTCCATTTAAAAAAGATGATAGAACAGAATGTGGCTATTATCAAACAATATTATTAATATCCTGTCCAAGTAAAATCTTGTTGATGATTGCCATCGAGTTGAGCACAACTCATAGTCACC